AACCTCAACATCCCGACCGACGTGCTCGACAAGATCATCACATCCTACACACGCGAATCCGGTGTGCGAAATCTCGAACGCGAGATCGGCTCCGTCTGTCGTTCCAAAGCCGTCGAATACGCCACAGCGAAAGACACAAATACTCTCGCAGCATACTCCCCTATTGTCACCTTGGAAGACCTCGATACCACGCTCGGCATCGAGAAGTTCGCCGAAGAGCTCACTGAGCAATCTTCCCGCCCAGGTGTCATTACAGGGCTAGTCGCATATAGCACCGGCGGCCAAGGCTCTATTCTGTTCATCGAGATTGCAGATATGCCCGGCTCAGGCCGCGTTCAGCTCACCGGCAAGCTGGGCGACGTACTCAAGGAGAGTGTAGAGGTAGCTTTGACTTGGGTCAAGGCGCATGCATTTGATCTCGGTCTGAGTGCAAGCCATGACGAGGACATCATGAAGAGTCGTAGCATCCACGTTCATTGCCCCTCTGGCGCTATTCCTAAAGACGGTCCCAGTGCCGGTCTTGCGCACACCATCGGCCTCATCTCCCTCTTCTCTAATCAGCCTGTCCCACCTACACTGGCCATGACTGGTGAAATCTCCCTCCGTGGAAGGGTACTGCCTGTCGGTGGTATCAAAGAGAAGCTGATTGGAGCGCTCAGGGCGGGCGTCGAAAGAGTACTCCTACCCGAGGGCAACCGGAAGGATGCTAGGGATCTACCGTTGGAAGTTACCCAGGGTCTCAAGATTGAGTTCGTAGGCCACATCTGGGAGGCTTTGGGCAAGGTTTGGCCCGAAAGATGGGAGGGTGAAGACGGAAGGAGGGGATGGGAGAGCAGATTGTAGAATGTAGATTATCTGAGTGATGGGTCTTGGTGGGGTTGGGAAGGAGTTGGATTGGTGTCTTGCATTTAGCGTTGCATTCGTTACTATCGGTCTGTGTATACTGTATTAGCTGCCTATACTCACATCTCTCACATTACTCATTACTGCTGTTCCTTGGCCGTTGTGTGCCAAATTAATCTCACCCGACCTCCGTTTGTTTGAGATACTTCTCCCTAGCCTTGCTGTCCTGCTCATCAGATTGAAAACTCGTCGAGGATACTAGTTCACGCACGATCTGTGACGATTGCGACCTTCTCAATTCAAAACATCATGCTATGTGATCAGCTGAAAGGAAGAAAGCTTCCTGCTGCCCGGGCATACAGTCATCTTTTCGATACCACATCGTTTTGTTCCGAAATATGTCCGCCACCCTGGCATGGGCGCGTGTCTAGGGTAAGAACCATTCAACATGATGACTAAATACCAGAATCTTCCGCTAGCGATCTGGAACTCTGCCGGGAACAGTATTATGAAGGCAACGGACGACTTCCTTCACCCAAAGAACCTCACATGCTGACCGTGGTGCTTTCTAGTTCTCATAACACACTTCCAGACTTCAGTAGCATCTTCTCGTGCGCTCAGCGCGATGAATGAACGCAAAAGTTACAGTATACTCACAGCACTGGTTTGCGTTGCCCGGATCAAAGACCTTTGGATCTTTTTATGTTTACCATTATCCACTAATTATAGGACCCATACCAATGCCTTCCATAGAAGCGAAGTGGTTTCAAGGCGGAACAGAGTACCAAAACATGTGGAATCTTAAAAGCGAAGACGGAGAAGCTATGGCTCCCACGATGTCAGCGTCATGATCTGTAGCTAGACGATACATAGCTCGTGATGAGGGGCATGCTCAAGTCGATCGCGGCAAGATTCCCGACTTCGCTCAAGACTTACCCATCACACACCTTCTGCCATGTGGCATTCAGCCTTCATTTTCATCGGCGCCGAAAAGACTCGAACGATGTCTATGACAGTTCCGGAACCGCCTCGGTGTAAGCTGTGAAGCCTTTGAGTGTTAGATTGCTATGCTATGGGACCCTTCGTACTGTGACCACAAAGATCGAATGCTGAAAAGTGGTCTAACGAATCTTATGTGCGAAAGATCTTTCATGACAATACGTACCTGTACCCCGTATGTGTCACTATCGTCGATGATGTTAGTCATTTTGTATTCCTGATAATCTCATTGTTGTCTTCTCTTGATTGCTCTATTGGTTGCTCATGTTGTCAGAATACGAATGAAATAGCGCGATGACTCTCTGGAACCTAATGTGAGACTCGTAATCATGGAAACCGATATCATTGCTTCGGAAGGCGACGAGATGTAAGCATATCGAATATTGACCGAAGTCGTAGCGTCCAACCGGTGATGCTTCCACAATGTCACATCTCCGAGTACTTTGCGAGCCATTCAATCCTCCACGCCTTGCACAGCGGAGATGGGCGGTTCCGAGCACGCGTCACCCTTCCGGAAGCCTCGGTGACAGACCCTGCCCGTTCGAGCGATACGTGGATGATCTTCCTATAGCAGCTTCCGAAAGCGAGCTCAACACCCAACCGTTGCAACCCAAAATACCGGGAAAGGGTGGGACGGAATGGTGCGGAGGCGGAAGAGGACTGAGCGCTGCGCGGCGCACGGGGACCTACCCCCTAACTTACTCTTACGGTGATGTTCTGGCCCAGACGACTGAGTCAAGCTTTGCCGTAGGGCCATCTCCACCACGGTACTTGTTGGCGTTTCAGAGACCCTGCAACAAATCTTGCACAGCGAGGCGACGTTGGTAGACGAATGTTGTAGCCTCACGACGGAGCATAACAACAATTATACCCGGGTTTGATGTTTAGTATTCATTTGTTCGCAAGGTTGTCTGCTCCTTCCAAAGTCGATCGCGCTTGGCTTTGAGGGGAAGTTGCTTATCGTGAGACGTGGTGATGGGTCTGTTCCAGCATTTTTTCCATGTGACAGGATCTCGTGAAGACTGAGTCGAACCAGAGGAACCGTTCATGATGTTGAGGGGCCCTAGTATTAGAGGCTTGCGGCGTATTGTAATGTGTAGCTGATAGACCTGTGCCGTGCTCCGTCTCACGATATCGGAATTGCTAGGCATTTCTGTTGTTGGGACTTCTGTAATATGGTGCATCAACAACATGCCATTTTACTCAAACCTAATGAATTCGAGCCTCCGCCAGAAAAAGGCCATGTCAATCTCACGAAGCGCCTACATGGGATGCAATTTCGGCAATGTGCACCGAGATGCAGAGCGGCTTCGACGTCGCATTGGAATGTCGCAGTCGTCTAGAGTTAGTACGCGTCGCGCGCGGCCCGAGGCATGTTAATGCTGGAATACTGCGATCGATAAGGGCAGCAACGGCGGCCAGCAGCGGTGATGCCGGCTCGGCCGGCGGCGGAAGTTGCCGTTGATTGCTCGCGCGCGCGGTACACGCCCGCACGTGCTGCAGTACAAGGTACCAGCAAGGGAATGATGGGCTGTTGATAGAAGACCCAGAAACCACCGGGGAGGGAAAGTTAGAGTTCGGCTCGACTGCTAATGAAAGCTTGCTGCTGCCGACTCTTCAAGCGGCAAGCGAAGAGGGGCGTGATCCCCACACCACCCAGGTCATCGGGCCAGCCATAGTTACATAAGCTTCTCCACCGATGGCATGGGCTGGTTGAAACAGCACGGATCGGCGCTGCACTTGGGAAGTCGTCGTTGCCAGCCTCGATATGGCACCATGACTTCCCAACTGTCCGCAGTAAGCCCCGATCCAGCCCATGGGTAGAGCTGCATACATGCCCAAAAGCCCACCGGCGGCGAGAATTTCGGCGGTACAGCACCTCTTGCAGCGTCGATGACATCGTCGCTTGGCCTCTTCATCTCAAGGACGAAACGGCCGACGTGCCCAGGTGTGTGCCAGGCTGCCAGCGCAGCAAGCGGATTGTCTGCAAGTGCATTACCGACTGCAGCGTACTAAGCCGGCCGCTGAAGGTGCTGCACTGTGCCTCTTGGCAGGTGCGATGCAACCGATGGAGCGATGTGATTGCGCATGGATTTGCTGAATCCAGCGCTGCAGATAAAGGCAATATACGTCGCGGAATCCAGGCGCTCATTTGCTGGGTAAAGCGTGTTGGGTCAGGCTGTCTAGACAGTACAGTGCGACGCCGCACCGTGTGGGGTGTGCCCAGCCATCGATTGGATGTTCCCCGGTGAGAGGTGAAAGGGAAAGGGTCTGCTGAGGCAGAGTTCCAACGTGCTACAGTGTCGACCTGATGTGTGGGTTCAGAGGCTCTCGAGCCCTGCCAAACCGTGGTGGGCGGAGGCCCCCAGGATGCGGGCACAATGTTCCGCGGAGCGGCGCAGGCCCTGGTTCCGTCATGGTGGCCGCTGGCAAGCCGACTGATCGATGCCTGGAATGGATGCAGCGCCGCCGCGATCCCGCAGCAGACATCGAGCCGTGGGCACCAAACAGCGACGCAGGCTCGGTTGCAGCCAGAATGCATGCAGCCGTCGTGTGCGACTGTTCCCCGTGCACAACCTGAGCCCTGGACTGCTCGTTGCTATTCGTCTTCCCCGGCGGTTTTCCCAGCGATAAAACGTCCCTCGCCGTAGTCAGCCGCAGAAGTCGCATCCAGTCCAGCAGGCAGTGCCCTGATGTTGTCCGCTTTTGTAACCAACGGCTCGCGCTTTTTCTCAGCCACGCTTGTGTAGTTCGGGGTCGATTCCAGCGCACTGGGAAGCCGGGTCATGGTCTGATGCGCGCCGCTCTGCACATACATACATAACTTGTGGACCGCCACCTTTCGTCACATCGCCATCGCCAGGTCTCGCCGGCCAGCTTTGACAAACGGTTAAAACTGCCAGTACGCCAGTTTACACTTCTTAGGGTTGTCCTTGGCCGTCGAGTAGATTGCCGCCTACCAAACCTTCGGTGTCCCGACACGTTCCAGTGGCCAGACTCCAGGGATTTTTAGTTGAGCTGCATGCAGGGCTGACTTTCAACGGCGCAACCTCGTCACCGGATCGCATGTGTTCGGGTCCAGGCCAACTCTATTCATAAGTTAGCAGCGCCCCTTTGTTGCATCGCCATTTCGCATACACATCTTTGCGACGCCAACCATGACGACACCAGCAGATACTGGAGCGGTGGACAAGGGCAAGAATGTGGAACGCGGCACCCTGGGCAAATATGTGAAGCGGATGAGCACTGTGTTCAAGAGGGAGAAATCAAACAAAAGTGTACCGACCCTGGCGCCCGAGGCATCGTCAACTCCTCAAGTCGCGCAGCAACAGCCTGTCGAGAAGGAAGTTGCGCAGCCGGACCAAACCATCCCGGAAGTCGCACCTGCCACGTGAGTTCTATAACGCCGTGTCGTTGGAAACATGCGTACTAACTTAACAAGACCTATCACTCCCGCCGTGTCAGTGCCATCAACTCCAACTACCAAGGAGATGGACCGCAACGCCATGCAGCAGGAGAGAGCCCGCGCCCTCTTCGCCAAGTATGGCCTCACCCTTGAGTCACACGAGTGGATCGCTGCACCAGCTCCAAAACCCACCGTCCAGCGTGTCGAAAAATCGATCCGTATGCGTGTCCATCGCAGCTGCCACCGCTGCGGAACCCTTTACGGCTCCGACAAGGTGTGCCTACAATGCGAGCACAAACGGTGCAAGAAGTGCCCTCGTTTCCCCAAGAAGAAGACGCCGGAAGAGAAGCAAGCCGAGAAAGAGGGTATGGAGCAACCCAAGCGAAAGAGAATGCTCACTATCCGGACTCGTGGCGGGGACGAGTTGGTATATCAACCTGCGAGACAACGCATCAGACGTAACTGTCATGTGTGTGAGAATTTGTTCGTTCCCGCAACGGCGAATATCTGCAATTCATGCCAGCATGTCCGATGTACGAGATGCCCACGCGAGCCAGCCAAGCTCAGCAAATGGCCTGATGGCTACCCGGGCGATGCTGAGCCTGACAGCGAGACGGAGGTGGAAAAACAGCTGGAGAAATTCAGACGGACCTGGCGAAAGCCGAGGACTAGGGTGCGCTGGCAGTGTGAGAAGTGCAACGGCCTGTTTCACAATAACTCGCCGCAGTGTCCTGGATGTGGGCATGAGAGATGCGACAAGTGTACAAGATCACCGTGAGTATACATCTTGCAGGAAGTCACAAACATCTATCGCTAACATATCACAGTGTCAGGAAACCTGAAAAAGGGGAGCATTTCGATTCCCAGGTCGTGGCGGCCGTGGAGGCTAAGCTGCGAGCGATGGATGTTGATGACAATTCGGCTCCATCTGCAGCGGAGGCTACCTAAGAGGCCAACGCTCGAACAGGATAATATACGCCGGTTCCCGATTCTTTCCAGATCTTCTTACCCTATCTTTGCACCAGTGTTATGCTCTACTTGACAGTGATACCAGTGGAAATCAGCCGCTTGTATTTGCACGCGTGGACTCACGACCATAACCCATCCACTGCCGCGCTCGCTATCATCACTGCGCGGCTGGGGGTCCTGTTTCACAATAAGTCAGCATTAACATGTCGTACAGCCCCCACCTTCATGCTTCGCCCCTCTACTGCCCACTGGTTTGGTATGGATTCCACCACAATACCGGCCTCAGAAAGCCACACGTGCTCTAGATTATCTCGAGACTTCTTCCATCGCTCAGCGTGTACGAACATGATGTGTAAGCCAAACGACGTAGTGTCGTAACTGCACCTTTGTTCATAGCTTGTACATGTACATTCCCGAGGAAACTTTTGCAATGCAGTGTAACCTCTGCATGTATATCTGTACCAGCCAACTGACTATCTCCTGGGGTTGGCATGAAGTGGCGTTTCCCAGCGCGTAATTTCGGGCTCTTGTTCTACAGTTCTCCACCACGCTAGGTGTATGTTGTGTCTGTACAACGGGTACAGCGGGTGTCAGGCACATTGTTCGGGACATCTGAGGCTGGTATTCCGGTTGGAAAGGTTTATTGATACGCCAGAGACGAGTCACATCTAGATAACAGGTTAAGGCTTAACCGGCCGTGGCTCTTGATAAGTACCTAGGTAGTGACCGGTGTGATGTGAGTAATCGTATAGTCTTAGCGCTCTTGTGCCACTGCAGGACTTCACTCTACAAGTCCTCATTCTCATATCAGCGCTTACCCATCACTTTGATCATCTCGACTCCGCCCAACGAAGCCTGCTTACTCGATGTCGCACAGCGAGCAACCAAGCGGGGAAGCCCTGGAGTGGCACAGACGTCCTCGTCCGCGTGCTGGAACATCACGACCCCTCGAATTGTCCTCAAGGTCCTTCACACAACGCTAGTCTCAAAACAGGAAATGCTGGTCAGTGGATGTTTGACGGCTCATATAGTCTGTGAATACATCTGCTAGTCATGTTGATGGCTGCACAAGGAACGACATCAAGGGAGGTATCCTCGATCGTTATTGTCGTTCCCGCGGCATAGTTCCGCACACCACAAGCCTTGTATGTAGCAATCTAGTCCCCATCAAGCAATCCCATGGTGACGAGTCCGCCAATGGCCAAGATTTGTCCCCTGCGTGCATCAGTTGGACCCCACTTCCAACAGGCAGTTCTCTTGTCCGGTTCGAATCATCTTGATAAGCGCAGAACCTTGGAAAAGCAGAGTTTATAGATTAATGTGGCGTTCTGAGATCCTAATCCAGGTGATCGGTTATCCGGATCCTTGATAACCGACTGCCAGTTGCGGAGATTGCTTTGGTGGACTGGGCGAACGATTACTATTCAGGCAGGAAGTTATGGGGTCTATATTAGGAGACGCATGGTTAACTATGCAGTGATATTTGGGCAATGTAAGCTAGTATTGTATCTTAGCGGAATGCACGGCTGTTAGAACAGCGCATCCTAGATGATTCTGGCATAAGCTATACCGCGTGTTACCATGTAAGCAGCTGTTTCGCTACATCATGGAGCGAGATTGTGTAACGTTGAAGAGGGGGATGTTCCAACATATTCGAGGCACAGCTCAGCACAAGACTTCAGGTATTCCGGGATTGTTCCGGTGGCATGGCGTACGCTTGACGTGCTCCATGTTTATTGAACTCTCTCCCTGTCGATTACTCACCATCCTCACCTGAGCAGTCTCTGGATGAACACGCTCGTAGGTAGGTATGGGTATCCCAACTGCATCGTAACACATGTCAGCTGCGATGAGGGTCGTACAACGGCTGAGTCGTAGCAGTACGCGATAGGTGCTGACATAGCCTGCAAGACTCATGCCGATGTCTGGTGCGTCGTTGAAGCGAATTAATTCGTTCAAAGATGTATTGGCTTTGTAGATGTAGACATGATGTCTGTCGGGTTAGTACGTGCTGCGGGGATAAGTGGCGCCAGAGCCTGGGGACAATAGGAGCATAGCCTATTATGACGTGACGTCCAAAAGCTTCCGAAACGCTTTCATTCTACGCGCCGTTTCAGGCGCGTGGCTGTGCACCAAGGACTCACCAAACGAAGAGCGACGGCTCACTTGCAATTCTTGGCGCCAAGTCCCAGCTGAGGCCGATACCAGCGCGGTGCGACCGCTGCCCAATCATACGGCCCCGGACGCCGAGAGCGCAATTACGGGGTAAGCCGCTCGTGAATGATCGCCAGCGCGTGTTTGCACGAACCTACACGGGGGTTTGCCCTGCTCTCTCTTGAATGATCTCTCCACACTCTCTGACACCTTCCTTCTTGCAATCTTTTTCAACTTTTCAACTACAGTCGCTCCCTTATTCTACTTTACCAACCATGCGTTTCGTATCAGCGCTTGCCGTCGCGGCGGCCACCGTCAGCGGCGCCCTCGCGCAAGACTTCGTCCTGGGCTTCAACTCGGGAGCCTCGGACGACACTGGCAAGGCCAAGACACAGGCGGACTTTGAGAAGGAGTTCACCACAGCGCAGAACCTCGAGGGCGCGCCGGGCGACTTCACCGCCATCCGCCTGTACTCCAACATCCAGTGGCAGACGACCGACACTCCCATCGCCGCCTTCCCTGCTGCCATTAAGACAAACTCCAAGCTCCTTCTCGGTATCTGGGCCTCGGGAACCGACGACATCGACAACGAGCTGAAGGCGTTGAACTCTGCCGTCGAAGAGTACGGCACCAAGCTGACGGATCTCGTAATTGGGCTGTCGGTCGGTTCCGAAGACCTGTACCGCGTGTCTGAGCCCGGCATCCGGAACAAGGCCGGTGTCGGTAACAGCGCCGAGAAGATTGTCGAGTTTATCAAGGCCGCGCGCGAGCGTCTTGCCGACACTCCTCTTAAGGATGTCAAGATCACCCACGTCGACACCTGGACTGCTTGGGTCAACGAGTCCAACGCGGCTGTCATCGACGAGATCGACTTCTTGGCCGTCAACGCTTTCCCCTTCTACGAGTCCGAGCTGGACAACAAGATTGACAACGCTGGCAAGCTCTTGAGCAGCGCCATCAGCGCAACCGAGGGTGTTGCTGGAGGCAAGGACGTATGGGTTACCGAGACTGGTTGGGCATACAAGGGTCCAGACTTTGGTGCTGCCAAGTCGACTGTGGACAACGCCGAGACATACTGGAAGGATGTCGGTTGCGCGCTCTTCGGCAAGAAGAACGTCTTCTGGTACACACTCCGCGACGCCAACCCCGCGAACAAGGTCAAGTTCGCCGTCTCCGACAACCTCTCCACCACCCCGCGCTTCGACATCAGCTGCCCTAAGGAGCAGAAGGAGTTGCCATCGGCGGAGCCCGTTAACAACGGCACTTCATCTGGTGGCTCTTCAAGCGGCAACACTACCACTGGCGGTAACAACAACGACGGCGGTAACGACAGCGACAACGGTAACAATGGCGGAAGTGACGGTGGAAGCGAGAGTGCTCAGCAATCTGGCACCGCCGCCCCTAGCGGTACTGGAGCTGGAGCTGCTACTTCGGTCTCGGTCGTGAACTCGATGGCCATGGGCTTGTCGGTCGTCTTCGCTATTGCTGCCTGGGCCTTGTAAGCGTAGATCAAGTTTCTACAACTAGCTCCCATGCTATATTTCTTTGTGTCAGTGTAAGATAGATGAATGCGTTCATATGGAGTGGCGAGTGGATCACACTCGTACCTAGTTCGAGCGACCGGTTTCGCAACACTAAGGTCTTGTAATATGCCTAGAGAATGAGATGGCTTTGTGTTAACGGCATTTCGGGCGCCATCTAGGCGAATCATGAAAGTGAAGTGTACATTGATGCAGGAGAAAGAAAAGAAAGGTGCCATCCACGCACTAGCTCATCGAGACGCGTCATGCCCCACACTCAGCCGTAGCATCGCTCCTGGCTCCGCATCCTCCACCAGCCTCTTATTTTGTTGGAATTCACAAACTAATACCCATCAATGATTGTTCGAACAACCAAGAGGACCATGTCACCAAGATGGCTCGCAATCTATTGAACCCCAGCAAATGATTCATCCCCTCATACCCTGCGTCCGATCCAACGTCTTCGCACTATTCTTCAGAGAACGCCGGCCAAAAACATTCGACCTACTGCACCCATCAGACTCATCGGCATCGGAATAGAAAAGCTGGGGGCTGCGGGTGTCGTACCGTTGCATTGAGCCCACGGTTGGGGCCATGTAGTGTGGAAGAATCGGCTGCGATTGAGCGAATGGTGGTGTTATGGGTGGTGTTGTCGACGTATGTATCTCACCTTGTCCTTGAGGTACAAAAGCTGTAGAGATAGGCGTGTTAGGAGCCGGAGAAGCCGACTTCCAGACGGTGGACTGGGCGATTGGACTGGAGTCGTGTTCAGGTGCCGTCACGGGTGTGGCTGGCGTAGGGCTCTGTGCCTGCATCGCCATGCTAGAGTGTCGAGACTGTGACTTTGGCTCTTTAGATTTCCGGAAGGGACTCATGGAAGAGAACATTGATGCTGCCCGATATCTAGGAGTAGATGTTGGTGTGTTGATTGTCGCCTTGGCTGCTCCAAATAGCCCTTGAGGCTTTGGAGCCAGAGGCTTTCTCGTAGGTGTTTTCGGCGTGAGCTTACGCTTTGTTCGCGGTTTTGCGGATCGTTCCTCGTTTTCGTCTTTGAGGGAGTATGGGGCGTATGCTAACGGTTCAATCCCAGGCTTCCCCTTCGTGTCCATCAACGACCATTTTCTCTCTTTCGACCTGGTCGTTTTGGCTAATGCCGAGGCATTCTTCGCTTTCTCTTTCTGTTCCCTCTCATCGAGCTCACGGAGCTCCTGGAAATGGATCGCCTGCAGAATCAACATGCGAGCTTCAGCGTTAATGCCGTGTTCGAAGACCTCATATACGTACGGCACAAAATCTCCCCACGTTTGTATCTGTCCTGGTAACGGGAAGATCATATTCGCCGTCTGATAGACTCTTCGAAGGTCTCTTGGTATCTGCTTTGCGCCCATGATTGTGGGCAACACACGCAAATGCTTTGCAATCAGCTCTTTGGCTTCATAGATAAGCTTGCGCATACTGCCATGCAAGGATGCATGGGCACGATTGCTGAGGTTCAGATCGATAACGCAACTCTCAGGCACTTCGAGCAAGTACCGATCGATGTCAGCATATCGAACCGGAGTTGGGATCTGCTCAGGCGGCCTGGAGCTGCCAAAAGCTGCTCTAAACAGCGCCTTCGACGGGCTTGCAGCGTGCTTTCCCAAACAAGGCTCATTAGGAACCGATGGCGTGTCGAAGAGTGCTAGATCCATCTTGTATTCCTGATCGTAGGAATAGTCAAGAATACACACATATTCGTGCCCAGGTTCCAAGCAGCCGAACAACCACTCCCACGGCCCAGACACCTGCTGGTTCATGCTGTGTATGATTCTCTTCATCGCTTCTTCAGATGTAGCGTGATCTACAAAGAACCCTGTATTCGCGATCAACTTCCCCCGTGATAGTTTGGCATTGCGGATATAGCTGATTGGTGCAGCGCCAACTATAGGCTCACATGCGGAACTGAGCAGAGGCGTGTGGCGAATGCGACATTTCTCCCAGTCAGGCTTCGAAGGCAGTACTTCGATACCGCGGCCAAAAACGCGAAGAATAGCGCAAAGACTATACGGGCTCACTGTTGCTATTCCGACAAGATCTCTCTGAGTAGATCTGCCGATATCGTAGTGCATGGCCAGGGCTTGTAGCATCTACTATATGTTAGTTGCAAATCCTTAACCAAGATACGTGATAGATGCTCACTCGTGTAGCTCGTCTCTGATTGCGATAGCGTTTGACCACGAGCAGTTGTGTTATCCACCACACTCGATCGTCCCCATACATCCACTGGCTCACGAAGCAGTGCCCAACGTGCCGATCGTCTTTAGTAACAACCGTCACTAGGATATTGTTCGCGTCCTCAGGTAGACACTGAGCTCTTATTCTTACGCGACTCATATGTATGGGTTTGCCTATACCAGAGTGAGCGATGCGTCCTTGGCTGCCGACCTAAACACTCCAATAATACCGGAGGACTTACCATACTCGGCCATTATCCCCATCTCAAGATGCGCTCTCCAACTCCACACGCCGTAATCAGAAGAAAAGTTGGCAGCACATATGTCCAGTTCTTCGTCCGTCACTGCATCTCCAGGGATAATGCGATAAACAATGTCTTCATCGACATCTGGTTCTTCATAGAGGTGGTTAGACTCGCCGCGTATACAATAGTCGACAATATCAGTGCTGGCAGGGTCGCGGTGCGCCATTCTTTCAGGTGGGGGGTCTCTTCGCGCGGTTGGTGGTAGCTGATGGTGCTTCACAGCGGTAGTCACGCTGTGCCCTCGTTGGAAATTATTTCGATTTTGATTTGATGTTCTCGCAAAATTAGTTGTCCTAGGACGTTGGAACAAGCTGAAAAGCTATCGTAGATGACTTTTCGACTGTCAGGTTCGCTCAAGCGAGGGATGCAAACCATGGTAGAGACTGGATTGCGCCCTATCATGCGAAAAGCCACGCTTGCCGCTTCCTCTGGACCCCTTCCGAGTCCAACCCCAAAGTGAACGATCAGTCCCGAAAGAGCTGTAGATGGAAGGAGCGAAGCGTCCTCGCCTAGACCTCTGGCCTGTTGAGCGGGTTGACCGGGTCACAATACGATTTGGATCCCAAGACGCGTTATCATGTCACGAACTGCACCCAAACAAAGTATGAGTTGCGCAATCGGTAGTATCCGATGGCTTCATTGGACACATCACTGCTAACACTGCACAAGTCTAATCAAGGTAGACAAGATGTGCCGGACTCAGAACAAGCGGATCAGACACCTCCGCGACAATCTTCCCATCACGATCGTGCCTTCGTCTTGGGAAACCAACATTCCAGCGCACACCCGGTAACTCAAGTCTTAACGCTCGCGCCATCTCACGTCTTCTTAACGGCGTTCATCCTACTCAAGTCAGTGGGTGCACAAATCCCATGGGAACGCAAAACTCTTACCTCGTAGTACTGCCTATCATCCGCGAAAGATACCCGACGTCTCCTTCTCGTATCCACTGGCTGCTGCCTTTCGTCAGGCGGAAGGTATTCGTCGCCACGCCACACCCCAGTATTATGTAGTCGATATATCTCGTCGCGGTCCGGCTGCCTGACCTCTTGCAGTGGTCGCCTTGTATCGTGAGGCAAAGACTGTGGCTCGAATCGGGATTGCCTCCGATCTAGCAACTCCTCTCTGTCTTCGGATCGCGACTGCCTGTGATCTCGTAACTCCTCTCTTTCCTCATAGCGCGGCCGCTGTCGGTGGGACTCGTCGAGATCTGCGATCTTCCTTCGGTCAGCCAGTTCGACCATTCTCTCTGCCTCACGTGCTGGTATCGGGAGAATAGATCCCCACTCGCCCGCTGCGTCGTAGAAGTTGATGATCTCCAGTCTCTCCGCTGGGTCATGTTAGCCAGCATGTTCGTTACACGTACCGATCTACTCACCGTCGGTCATGTCCCTCGGTTGCTCCATCTCGCTTCCTCGCCTTGTTGGCTGCGCCGATTGATCCGGATTCATCTGCATAAACCGCATAGGATACTTTGGCTGCTTCTTCATCCGTGAGACGATGCTCTGATATGTCGCGAGGTAGTCATCTCTTCGTGCACCTGAGATCTTCGCTAGCTCGTAGTCGTTGTGGAAGGGCGAGAGAAAGTTAACGAGCCAGATGATGTCGGTATCGCGACCGAGATAGTACTCGAGGCTTTCAATTAACCGCTTGGTGAGTCGCAGGGCGAACAAGCCGATGACGAGGAAGTCTGGAGCAGGTGGTGGTGGAGAAGGGCGAGGTGGTAGTCGCGGCGGTGCGGATGGGCCGCGCATGATGTCGGGAAGGGGCGAGAGGGCGTATCTGGGTTGCTGCATGTTGATGGTGTGTCGATGGAGAACAATAGTCTGGCAGTGAAGGTAGCAGTCTAGACTCAGCACATTTGGTCGCGTGCTTGGCGGTAAACGGAAGTCGCGACTCGATGGCGCGGTGACGACTGTGAAAACAAGCTCGTCCAATTTCTCGCCAACATGATCAAGTTACCGTATTTGCACCTGCTGTGCGTCCTCTGGGTTCTTGAGTGTTATTCGTTGCTATAATGAGCTTACCCAACGCGTGTGATCAATTCTCCTACAGACTGGCGTAGACAAGACAGCCCCGACCGAAGATTTGAGACTCAAGCCTGTCTTCAGCCAGTCTCTTAATCCTCAGCGCATGATATCTGATCATCTTGCACCATACACGAGTTGGCTCTTGGGCTCGATCGTCGATTTGGTACACATTGTCGTGTGCTTGGCAGGCATGTTCCTGGGCAGACCAGAGTGCAAAGAATGACCAGTCTTACTCAGAAGTGTCTATACAAGCAAATATCGAGTGATAATGTCGCGACACCACGTTTACATGCTTCGCAAGACGCTGGTTAGGAATATATGCACGATGACGTCACGCGTAGATTAGCGTGTATGAGTCGAAATGACCATTGGACGGTGCGCAGTGACTCTTGCGTACCTTCCCATGTATATAGCACCAAGTTATACTGACATTCGCAATGCAGTTACCTGTCAATAAAGAGGATAATTCAAAGATCAAGATCGACCGTCTACGATTCAACCGAATCATGGATTACCCATTCATCCCAGGAACCTCAACAATTCCTTCCAAGGTTCTGGGACCTATATCAACGGAAGGACCTCTACCTGATGAGCTTTTGTCGCCGAAACGACCTCTTGTTGACTCAAAGTCCATATTCGCGTTCTGGCATTCTGGCATCCGAACGATCCCACCCGTCCTACTACGCAACGTCCTTGCTTGGTACCGCCGCTTCTCACCACTGGGATGGACTATCTATGTCCTTGACAACGTGCCAAATTCTGCACTAAACGTAGGCAACTACATCGACACCAAGTCCTCCTCGATTGTACCGGCGGCATTCACGAACGGCACCCTAGACGGACAGTATGCTGCACAACACACCTCAGATCTAATCCGCTATCCGCTCCTGTTGAAGTACGGTGGTGTGTATCTCGATGTTGGTATCCTTCAATTCGGCGACATAAATCGTCTCTGGACCGAACACATCACCAACCCAGATTCGCCTTACGACTTCGCCGGCTTCACGCTGGGAGCAGATGAGCCGCAGATCGTGAATTTCTCGCTCATGTGTCGAGCGAACAACCCGCTTGTGCAACGCGCACATTATATCCTGCTCCAGGTCTGGGAAGGCAAGACCAACACGATCGGCACACATGCGCATCCAATGGTGTCCCACGTCCCGCTTATGCGTGTGCCACAAGAGGTTGTTGTAGAAGAAGAAGGACAGGAGAAGATGGTGATCAACGACGAAGCCATGACCGACTACGCGATTCAGATCCAATGCATGGGATCGGCGCAAGGCTGGGTGGATGAAGAAGACGGATGGGACGGGCCGAAGTATGTCAGAGAGAAGTGCTGGCTGCTCAGCATGATGGACGGGGCATTCGCACACGAGCAGATGACTGGATGGAGTGGTCAGAGGCAATTTGATCTTCTGAGCCTTCGATTACCCAAGGAGAGCGAGATTGAGACAGACGATCAAGCACTTGCGAGGCGTATTGTAGAGAAAGTAGTGGCAGACAGCTGGTGTTTGAAGCTTGGGCACGGGTTTTCGGCGAAGCTGTTCGGAAGCGACACTCTTGGTATGCTGTGGAGAAAACATCGTGGCAGCGACTGTGCCAATAGGACGTATGCGGGTTGGCTGAGGTGGGCTGAAGTGGGCTATTGTCGCGACAGCGATGTGGTACCTATGAAGGTTCCCGTGTATGAGCCGACTAGGAAAGCGAAGCTTTTGCCATGAAAGGACGAAAGGCATGATGGAATGATAAGGGCGACTTGGGCGGACATGCACTGCTCGAGATAGCGCCCAGAAATTTAGTGTAGAACTATGTCATTACACAGCCGAAGCGGATCTGCCCGCCTCCCCTTTTCTCACGCCCACGCCCACGCCCACGCTCAATGCCATCCCCTCCCTTCAGGCTTTCGGAAACTTGCGTATCGACTCGCAGACATCTCATGCACAGGTGTAACTTCATGCGCCATCATCTCTGACGGCTGCCGCGATACTGGTTCAATTGTTTGCCCATCGATCTCGCTGACAGCAGGGTTCTTGGCTCGGCGGTTCCGCCTAAACAGCAGGAAGCCTATGGCTCCAAGCACGGCCAGTCCAGCAACACCTCCCACAACGCCACCTGCTATTGCACCTTTATTGGTCGATTTACTTTCGGCTGTCGGAGCCGGGCTCGCGGGCGTGATGCTGGTAGGTGTGCAGATCGTGGTAGGGTTCGGCGATAGGTTTTGCGCATCGGCTGCGACAGCTGGCGCAAGTTGAAACTCGCTTTTCGCGTAGTCTACTAAAAGATAGTTGAAGGTCAAGAAGAGCCCTCCCAGGGTACTGTCAACATCGCCTGGATCATCTTGTCGCGTATCCGACACGAAGGCTTCGAGTGTGCTGTCGTTGGTGATGGCATACCGGCCGTACTCGTCAGATCCGCGTAGTGGCGCGAACAATTCCTTGTTAGGTATCCTGGACTGATAGCCGCCTGCCAATGTTACAATGAGATCGCCGCCGGGACGATTCGAGACGTTGTATTGCATCTTCGCCGGATATGCGGTCTCATTCTGGCCAGTAGAGTTTCCGAATGCCTGCGCAATCGCTGGAGGAAAGACGAAGCGCTGCGTCGATGGCTCAATACAAGCAATCAGCCCATCGCTTCCGTCTGGTATGAGCGGTTTATCCTGATACGTCAGGTTTGTGACCGTCACTTGTAGAGGACAGGCGCGCTCGAGGTTCCAATCGCGGATCGGGAAAGTAGTGAAGTTGGATGCTGGGTCGACCCGCGCACGATCGTATCCTCCTACAACAAGCAGGCCGTCATGTGGATCGATGCCCCTGCTACCACTCCACAGACCAAATACTTGAGATGGCGCGACACCACCTGCGACTGCAGCGCGGAGGAAGGAAGAGTTGGTTCCGAGAGGTAGACCAGATTGCACACCTGCCATCAGTCAGCTTCATTCATAGCTCGACAACCCGCATTGGACGAGACGCAAGCCAGGATTCTCACCTCCCCAGACTTCACTATCCATGACCAATGGAAAGCCGTCGACATTGCCATTTTCTTGGAACGCGACATCATCATTGAAGTAGACGTATGCACCGGTGCTGTCCTCAGCGTCGACTTGGCTGCCATTCCACTGGCTCTTGATCGAAACCGCATACGATGTAGACTTTGGCGCGTCGAAAGCACCGCCTAGACCACCGATGCAGCTGTCGTTGCTCGCAGATCCGCAATTTATAACATTGTTGATACGCGTATTGTTGAGCGTAGTCGACGGTCGGAAAGCAAAGATCTGGTGCGGAGTTCCGATACCAAGTTCAATACCACGTGCGACACCGAGACCGTCCTGTGTGACGGTGATGTTCGACCAGGTGAGTGTCAGAGGCGGGATTTCGCATTGCGCTGCTATCAGGCGAGAATTAAAGAAGACGAGGGCAGCAAGGCTGAGAGTGAAGCTACATCTTGTGCGCCATGATGGAGCCATGGCATTGAAGCGGGCTGGAGCATGTGCAGGAGAATCGGCTCGTCTCACAGGAGCATCAAGGTCAAGTCGGTGAGCAGAGAAGAGGAGGTAAGCAGACAAAGGAACCAGCTTGCGCAACGTAAGCCGGGCGCAGGTTGTGCTCCTCGAAACCGACGCCCAAAGAGATTTCTCGTACTATCATGCATCGTGATAGCAGCAGTTTTCCTGATTGGAGTAACATTCTAGTGGCGCAACCTATTGGGCGTGGGTAGCTGCATTGTCAGCTTGAAACGTCGGTTAATGCGCCTGCTTGCATGCCGATCACTTCTATCATACCTGGGATCTCGAGTGCTAGTCGATATGCGTCGAAACCTGGGTTTCCTGCTGTTAGACGTGTGTACCGCTTTTGGACGAACCGGAGGGTGCATAAAACACCCCGCTTTGTGCTTCTACATCATACATAACGACCACATGTCTACTAAAAATGGGCCACCCCAATGGAACATCAAGATCTGTAGGTGCGTTAAGCCGGCAGGCGGTGCCTACTGCCTTCAGCGTATCCTTCGAGCATCGATACACACAAGGCTGTATCTGTCAAGCAATATTATCATGTAGCGGCATATTTCTGATCATATGTACCAGCTGCGTTATCACGAAATAGACGTAACTTGAGTTGATGGACTGGCAATGGCCAAAAGACTGAAAGTATTTGTTTTACAGCTTTGTGTTCCAGTTGATACACCAGAACCCTATGGAACCTGCATGGGCTGCTTCCATAGTTTGCTCCAACGACATGAGTATCGATAGGCAAGATAAGGGTCACACCTATGTGCAATACCAAATTGCCACTAAATCACCTACCAATCCCGCCTGCTGAACAGGATCATGATCTTGGCGAAAGTGAGATGCGACGAAGTTGAAGAGACCAGATGACGTCATCTCAGGTGCTTCACCGATTCGCAACGTGTGGGGTTCGTTTACGTTCATTGCATCTAAGCAAGCGATGACTATCAACAGCGCTGAGAGCTCGATCGAATCTGGACTTCCACATATGCTTCTCCATCTATCTTCGTGCTGAAACTAAGAAGGCGAAACACTACAAATCATCTGCGCAAGTTTGCGTCCTGCGATCAGGCCTGAAACCACATCCAATGGCGTCGCAAAATAAAGCCTTCGAGCTCATATGCGGTGGGCATACGTGTGAAGTATGCGACAAGCTGTCTGAGACTCCTGACCAGCTTCGAGCAGGCGCTGAGAGTCAATGCCCTTTATCTCATGTGCGACTGGCTTGTGTAGAGTGGGCTCTAGCACGACTAGGTTCAGATGCCCCCAGGTGCGATATTCAATACAGCGGGCCATTTCGATTGAATATTTTTGGAGACTCTGTGGCGCTCTACTTGGAACTTTTCGATCTCTGTGGTACGTGAGTTGACAGCTGCCGGAGGGTGCTCACTAACTTCCCCAGCGACCTCCCCAGCATCAGGAAGATTATTGCCAAACTCGACTGGCCCGGATAACACTGTCTCAGCCATTGAAAGTTGGCTGGAAGACTGCTTAAAGAGCCACGATGGTTGCGCTAGATCGGCTTTTAGTGCAGACGTCAGCGGCCGGACAGGCGCAAGATTCCTTAAAATCGAAGAAGATCGGCTGCTCCTTCTACAAGATATAAGCCCCGCACAATATGTTTGTTTGAGTCACTGCTGGGGAGGTGGCGAGGGTATACTCCGGACAACAGACTCAAACTTCATTGACCACTCGAATGGAGGCATTCCCATGGGTAGCCTTCCGGCGACCTTCAAAGACGCCGTTACTATCTGCCGACTCCTCAAGGTTTCTTACTTATGGATCGACAGCCTGTGTATTATTCAAGATAGCGACGAAGACTGGCGTAGTCAGTCTGCGACTATGGCCGACATTTATGCGAACGCGTTCCTCACGATCGCAGCATCGGATTCTGAGAACGCTACAAAGGGTTATTTCGAACTGCTGATCCCGACTTTCGAGGTAAGCCACTTCCAGGCCACTCGGGAGTGTATGTACGGCCATTAAAAGACTCGGGCATTACGTGGCCGCTATTAAAACGAGCATGGGTGTTCCAGGAGCTTGTATTATCTCCCCGCGTTGTACACTTTGGTCCCAACGAGATTATATGGCAATGTCGACGCGCAGTCAAGTCCCAAGGTCGAAAGCGAGAAGAGGTTATATCAACATCGATCCATGATCTCAATATGATAAGTCGCGCGAAGGAGAAGCTCCAATCTAAAGATTCGAATCTTACAGCGATATGGCATGAGATGGTGAGGTTGTACAGCCAACGGAGACTTACCTACAGCAAAGATCGCTTGCCAGCAATCGCCGCAATTGCCAAGACAATGCAGTCACTCCGACCAGGCGATGAATATATTGCTGGAATCTGGCGATCGACTCTCTTCTTTGACATGCTATGGCGCACTCGTTTCGGGCAAGCTGAATGGACCGAGGGTCTGCTGGCGGCAGTCAAAAAGCGTATGGCTGGAAGCATACCTACTTGGTCTTGGGCATCCATAAGTGCAGGCGTTGAATGGGGGGTAGCGGACACGGTTCTTTCCAATGTTGAGATCCTCGAAGTCCGCTATACAGTGCATGGGCCGACCGTTTCCGGTGCTATCACTGAAGCTGCGATCACTTTACGCTGCCCTCTGATCAGTTTTTGGGACATCCGACACCGATTGGATGTGCCAATATCGCTCGAGGAAGCAATAAATGGAAGAATTTCACCGGGATCAAACGAAATGACCCATGATAATCCCCAATGGGACGACGTGGGACTGGCTCCCTGTCATGACATCCAAGCTCGGCTGTGTCTGCTATTTCTCGCTCTCAAACAAGGGCCATCTATATGGCCAGGCGATCGGCAACGCGCGCTGATTGTGATGGAGAAAGATCGTCCAGATCACTATGTTCGCCTTGGCATCGTCGATGTACATTACGCTGGGTGGTGGGCCATTACTCTCCGACCAGGAGATCCTGAGTATGTGGAAGGCTACCATGTCGATGGGCTTACGGAAAAGTACAATGATCGTCTCAAGGAGATGCTTGAAGAGATGGATACAGAAATTGTAACATTGCTCTGATCTCAAGAAGAGTACCAGGGATGAGGCAACATGCAAGGCGACGTTGCTTGGGAAAACGGGTCGTAGTGTGCAAGCCGAATATGGTTCAACTCAAATTCACACTTTCAAGGTGTAGTCCTTCTATAAAAAGCCTTCTTTGAATGGGTTCCGTTGAAGCGAAAGATCGATGGCTATGTATGTCTACGTGTGGTCTCTTTTCACGCGCGATGTCATTGTCACTCCGTGCACCGCCACGACCCAAGCCGCTGAACCCCACCAAGACATCCCTACGCCTGCGCGTGTCCCGCCTCCACGTCCCAGCCCAACCACTAGCTCCAGCCAACACCAGACGCCGACACGACAATCAACGACGCCGTAACTGCAATTACTACACGTACTCAGATACTATCGCCAAATATACAAGATGGCGCCTTCAGTCTCGTTAGTCGTACGTTCCATGGCGACACCACATACTGCCATCGCGACTGCCAGCTAATGCGGGGCAGAACAAGCTCAAGGTACAGCTCAAGCTGTCCATATCGCGACTACGCATGGTCCAGCAGAAAGACAGCGCCAAAGTAAAGCAACAAAGGAGAGAAATGGCGCAACTGATCGAGGTACGTCGGTAGCTCCTTACAAGCAATTGTCGCATCGCCTCGCCCAGGCGCAAGGCAACTGCGCGTATCCAATACCACCACACTCTCCTCTAGGTCCCAGAACTGACGTCTGTGTAGGTCGGCAAAGTGCAATCAGCGCGCATACGCGTCGAAAACATAATCCGCACCGACATCACGACCGAACTGCACGAGATCCTCGAACTCTACTGCGAACTCCTCCTCGCGCGCTCCCAACTCCTCGAATCGCAAGTATCCTCTTCAAACACCACCTCCGCATCCACCTCCACCCTCCTCGACCCCGCGCTAGAAGAAGCCGTTCGCAGCATAATATACGCCGCGCCGCGAACCGAGATCAAGGAACTGCATACCGTGAGGGCGCTGTTGGTGGATAAGTTTGGGAAGGATGTCGCGGTGGCTAGTATGGAAGGTGAAGGTGTTGCAGAGAGGGTGATGAAGAAGTTGAAGGTTGAGACACCGAAGGAGGAGCTGGTCGAGGCGTACATGACGGAGATTGCGAGGTTCTACGGAGTACCATACGGCACAGCCAAGAGCGAAGACGAAGAAGAAGACGACGACGACGAACCATCAGGTGGCGTAGCGGAGAAAGCAGACGCCGATCTCGAAGACCCTATATCGACCGACGACAGCACAAGCAAAAAGGCAGAAGAAAGGGAAGCGCTGGCAAAAGCCTCGACACCCAAAAAGTTGGGCCCGCAAAGTCCGCTGCGAGTTGTTCCGCCCAGCCCTAGTACGGATAATGTAGCGCCGAGGTTGAAGTTGCCGGGCAGTGCGGCGGCGAAAGTAGCGAAGAGCGAAGCGAATACGAAGAAGCCGGCGAAGAAGGAGGATGGGCTGGGTAAGATACCGGATGTGGATGAGCTTTCTAGGAGGTTTGCGGAGTTGAAGAGATGATGCGGGTAGAGCGACGGTCTGGTTGTTTGGCATGGGTTTCAGTGGAGTTGCCATCAAGCCTTCTACTGCAAGTACCAGTCTGGTAGGAGTACCCAGACTGCGCACGAATCGTGTTGAGAGTAAGACTTTTGGCACAGTACCAAGGGGATGAGCCCAAACGTAAGGGACGGCGCACGATAGTAATGGTCGTGATTTAAGTCTCCTACTCTTCAAGATAGCCAGCTGCTGAGCTGCGCGCAATCCTATCGATGCAAACTGCTCCTGTTCTCCACAAACCTCCCATATGGTATCACATTGTACAGCTTCCCATGTTGAACTTTCAGACATCTTCGATGCCTATACTGAGGACTAGGGAATAGGTGGTACATGTAAATTACTGGTATCATGCTAATACGCTCAC